AGGAAGAAATGCTTAAGTGGAAAAACTGGTGGCACCAATTTGTAGAACAGCCTCTGAAAACATTTCAATCATAAGAATGATTTTGACTGCCATGGAAACTGGTGCTGTCACCATGCTGTGAAGGTGACTTAATACCAAGTGTTGTGGCACCCGATCTTCTTCATCTAATCACTTACTGGGAGCAGAAACTTTAACCAATGCAACATATTGAACCAATTCTCATATTCCTGTATTACCTTTTTCCACAAAAAATATTTTATCAGGAATGCTTATAAATGAGTACATCTTTAAAATGAAAAGCCCTGGTATTATTATTATTTTTTTTTTCCCCCCACAAGTGTCTTGTTTGCATCTGTTTTACAGAGAAAAACCTTCTGATGACTTCTAAGTTCAATGCTTCTAGGACATGTTCATATACGCCTGTATACCCAGAGCTCCTGTCAGCTCCCTCTCATATGCTTTTTATGACTATCCCACTATTCTAATAAAAAATGTAATCCACGTAGACACTCTCAAGTTAGCACAGACTGACAAGCTACAGCAATGACAGGCAGAAGCAGCTGTGGGGAAGACAGGGCAAATTAGAGAATCTGTAAGATTTTTGTATTTTGTAAAGCGTGAATGTACTTTTAAGACACATTCTGATTGAAAGAGCGTAAAAATCCAACAATTAAAACCATCTTCCATAACAGCAGATGACAAGATGACTAAACCCACTTCAGCTAACATGGCCCTTGACAAAACTTTACATGCATGACTATTCCAAGAGAAAAATCACAAAGATAGATAATGTTAAATTGGGTATATGTACGGAATTACTGCTTATAACTAAGATTGAGTTTACCTGGCACATTTTCCAGTTTTCCAGCCATCAGTGGCTTTCCCTTGCCTCAATCCCTCCCCATAGTACAGCTTGTAAGTACACACTTGCTACTTTGGAATCTACAGCAAAGTGGGTTAGAGCCTTTGCATACACTTAAAAAGAAAAAAACAAACCAACATGTCAAGGAAAGCTTGCACTGCTGAAACTTGCAGTTACAGGGACTGGAGAAAAGGTGAAGAACACAGTATGATAGATTCATATTTCTTAAATAGCAATCCTTCCCAGTAATGCCTGTTTCTCTTTACTAGATGGTTAGTACAATGGTAGCTACCATTAACTGATCTTGAAAAAGGTTACATATCCTAAAATCCAGGGTCTCAAAGCAAGACACAGGAAAAAAACCCAAGGGGCTTTAAACAACAATAAAAAATTGTTAACAGTGAAAGAAAGTGCCACTTACAGAATGGAGCATTTAAGAGAGCAACTCAATACAAGAGCTTTAAGCCCCAAGCAGAAAACTGGAAGTGCTGGAAGAATAATACGGTTAGAGTAAACTTGCATTTTCACAAAGCAGCTGAGGAATGCTGTGCACACTAGCAAGGCAAAAGGCATGGGTTTTGACAATTACCTTGAACTTAATAATGCAAACTGTCTAATGGACACTACAGATTTCTTCCAAGAAGTCAGAAGGAAGTGTGTCTTGATTAACACAATGAACACTTACATGAATCTGTTTTAAGAATGTAAGAAACAAAACCCCCGTACTTTCAATATTTGATTAGTATAATTTTTAATTTTTTTAGACATACCACAGGAACAGTGAGAACAGTTACGTAGAAACACTTAAGTGCCAAGTGGTGTGCATATTTGGATATGGCCTTGTGTCCATTCTGAGAAGCCTACAACCCAACTAGACAAGAGATGGACAGGAGTAAGAAAGAAAATCTCACAGTTTATGCATGACAGTTTGCCTGCAATGTGTATATTGTCCCAAAACATTCCCCCTTTTTTTTCTAGCTACTTCATTTATTCTGCATTTTCTGCTGACCCCACTTTGTCCTTGGTTCTGCACTCAGAAACAAGCTCCGTGTCACAATGTACATTTTCTGCTTTTGAAGAAAAGGTAAGTTGGTGGAGAGTCAGTGGAAAGCGAAACGCTGCTTATTCTTGGTAGCTCTGGCTGTCAGCACCAAAGGGGAAAGCTGGTCCTTTTGTAGCTTAAACCAAGAGGTATTATGTTGCAATAGTACCTCTCTGTATACCCCTATTTCCACGATAATGGGAAATACACTATTACACACTAATATACACTGTTACCAACGTAATGGATCCTCTGTCTTCTAAGAACCAAAAATAAAATAATCACCACCTTTTCTGTCCTAGACTGTTCTAGCATTCACAATGATTAAATGTTGGCCGATCATCCTCCAACTTCTGCTACATAAAGTGAGAGAGGTATTGGCTCTGGATGGCCAAGGGGACAGTGACTTCACCTCTGGACAACAACTTAAAACAAGAGCCCTGTAATTCCTGGAACAGCCTCTCCTCTGAGCAAGTGACACAGACACTTAATTGCTGCACATGCACTTCCACTGTCTTTTTGGCAATAAAAAAAAAAAATACTGCTAGCTATATTAAGATGCTGGCAATAATTTGAGCAGTTTGGATAATCTGAAGTAGGCAGAAGTCCTTGCCAAGTACATTTCAAACAAAAGAAAAAGGACACACTGAAAAGAATATTTCTGTTTCAGAGTCTTTCAAACAATTTCCCTCTCAGCCTTCACACAGTCACAGAGAGACCCGCAGCACACTGGGACACAAATGGCACTGCATCCAATCAACTTCTTCAGTGGGAAAAATGAGACCACTCTGCAAAGTACCTTAAGCCACTGAAACAGTCTTTAGTACCTCCCATAAACTCCTTTTCCTGTCCTTCCACTAGGCTATTTCAGAATTTGTTTCAACCAACATTAAAGACATACCTTGACAGTAAAATTCATGTTCTATCCTTGGTAGGAAAATAGTGGCATCTTTTGATTAAGTAGAAATCAGTTAAGGTTCTGCTAGAGTGGAATTTCTCAAATTGTGGTAAGGAAAATTAGTAGTCAGTCACCCCAAATTACTACACATAATTTAAAATAAATCATATACACAGTCTCAAAAATGCAAATAAACTGCCTGGTAGACATTCAGTTAAAGCATCCAGAATTACTGCACACAATCAAAACAACAAATCAGATTCAAATAAGCAGACATTCTTTCACAGGTTTTTCCTATTCAGTTTATTAATATCTATCTTTAGCTAGGACTTATTTTCACTGCTCCCTTTAATTCTCTTAATTGGAAATATGTCTGTGCCAGATTCTAAGCATTAGTTTATTCTGCTCAATAACCTGAAAATTGAGAAGGGCTGTACCAGATTTCCTCCCCCCCACTGTTTTACTCTACCACTAATTATTCAGTCACAAATCTGTTGCATATTTCCTTCAGGTTGGGTTTTCTGGCAGTAACTGAGACTTCTTTAGAAACAGTTCACTACAGTTTAAATTCATTATCTGTTGCTAATTAAAATCATCTGTTTTATTGTCACAAAAGAAAATCCTGCTGCAGAAACTAATGAGCTGCAACCTTCAGTAACTGAGAGAATGTGTTTACAAGCATGAACACTTAATGCCAGTACCAGTCAGGTCTAATTGGGATTAACATTTAAGTATTTACTACTACTCGTAAGTATAGGTGGAATTAGAGGGAAGCACAGTCAGCAAAGTATCAGTACATCAACAGATACAAACAGAAACAATGTTATAAACAATTCCCTAACTCTAACGTTCATAACCTCAGTAAACTATGAATTACAATTGGGTTTACGATTTTTTTAAAAATCTGCCTATTCAGGTATCTTGTCATTTTTTTATACTAAAAACTGCTCCCCCTAGACAGGACCAGTGAGAAGCAAGAGATTACTTAAGATGAAACAATGTACTTCATTGCTTTGGATAAACTACTTATAATTAAGCATACACATCTAGAAAATGTACTTAACAATTCCAGCATCTGTATACATACAGGTGCTCCCCAGAAAACCAGAGTATTTTACCTCATGCTAAGCATGCAAGCCTGAGCCTTGAACTGGGTAATCTGATTTTCATGGGTGCTGAGCACTGCAGCTTCCCATGGACTGTAGGAGTACTTGTGGATCATCATGACCTCTGAGAATAAAGCCAGGAATTTAGGAGACTGATTTGAAGTATGTCAAATATGGAAATTTAAGCCAGTTTACTTAACCACTGGCTACTTCCAGTTAGTTGCATTGCACTTTATGTTGAGGAAGCTGTACCTTAGGAGGAATAATGGCTAACTATCTGCTATGAAAAATGGAGCCACATCCTATCAGGCTAAGCAACAGTAAAAAGTGACTCCTGCAGTTGGAGATGGAATTAATTTGGTCCTCTGTTTGGATCAGTCTACCAGCATGGCATTAAACACCACCAGGGTGTTGTATGAATGCCTTACCAAGAAAGTTTTGCTTTTTTGTGTGTTTTTTTTTTCTTAAAATGAGAAAATAAAATATTGGCTTGATTTTTCTAGATCAAAATAGGGTACAGTAGAAATCAATACGACACTTACTTGATATAATGCAGAAGTAAATTCATCATTTGGAAGACACCAAAAAACCCCCTAATCCATCTGGTTTATTAGGGCTTAAAAGTCTGTACCTTTCAGAAGACTTAAGAAAAACAAACCCAAACTGTGGCCCATTGAAAGTCAGCCTCTCCTTCAGGACCTTTGAAAAAAGTCAGAGACACTATTTTCCTTCTATTCTTGTTAGTTCCTGAAGGATGACAGCCTCCATCACTCCTTCACAGGGTAAGAATGGGACTTGAGTTGTTTTTCTGCTTTGTTTTTGGAAGAAACCAGGAGGGAAGGGGATTAAGAACAAGTGTATTTGCCAATACACAAGAATACCTCCAGAACAGTTGCTTTTGTTTCTATGGTAACTATGACAACATATATGCAAATTTTAACAAGACTCAAAACATTTTTTGCAAGCTATCAGGAAAGATTTAACTTCTTGATTACGTGTTCAGAAGTTTCCACTAGCTCTTAAATCTTCTTGAGATTTCAATCTCTGAGAATAAACATTAGCCCACACAACAGAATGAGTACAACAGACAAGTTGTTTTAGAAATTATTTAATTTACAAATGCATACACTGCTTCTTAGAACAACCATGATGCAAAATCTTACCAACTCTCGGTTGCATTGATGTAAATTGTCTTTTTAGCTTCATTTACACTAGGAAGTCAATTTCTCCAGTAATGCTTCTATTCCTTTCACACTTTTATTCAGCTTCAACTTTGGGACAAGCTTTTTCAGTCCTCTTTTGACTGTATTTGCCACTTCTTGATCAGTGCTCCGGAGAAGGCTACAAGAAACAGGAAAAAAAACCCAAGGATGTCAAAGGTAAGCACATAGGTCATAAGAAAAGAAGCTGTCCATGTAAGCAAACAGTAACTATTTAGGAATAATACAGTTCAGAGCAGATTCCATCATGGCCTATTAGAAAAAGATGTAAAACTTTGCAGAAAGCATGAAACACCAAATGAGAACACAACTAACACAGGATAAATCAGACTGGAAGGAACTGCAGAACCCTTCTTGAAGCAGATTCAAACACTGTGTCAGACCAGGCTGCTCAGGGCTTCACCCAGTCTGGGCTTGACACCCCTCAATGCAGGAGACAGCCCCATCTCCCTGGGCCCCAGGCCCACCGCTGGGCTGTCTTCATGGGGAAAATGCTGAGCCTCTTGTGTTTCAGCATGTGCTGCTGCCTCTCACCCTCCAGCCATGCACGCATTGCTGTGAAGAGCCCACTCTCCTCTATCCCCTCTGGTGCTGGGGTGCTGTTAAGTGCCCCCAGAGCCATCCCTTCTCCCAGATCAACCAGCCCCTGTCCCACAGCCTCTCCTCCCAGGCCAAGGGATCCAGCCCTTGACTATGTTGGTCACCCTCCACTGAACTCGCTCCAGTTGTTGATACCTTTCTTGTAATGGGGGTCCTAAAACTGGATGCAGTGAAGTACATCTAACACACATCAAGTACTTTCACTATTGTACTTCCATGCTTCGTTTAGCACAGGACTACAGAGCCTTACCAGTTCTGTTCTTTTTTAGATATTACTTCTGGAAAACAAACCAGCTTTCCTAGATAACTTTTCTTCCCCAGAAACAAGGAAATTAATTGTAAGCTGTAAAATACTATTAGAAAAGAAAAAGCTTCTGCACTCTCCAGATCAGCCTACGCAGTGATTGTCCTTCTCCCCTTCCTTTGGGTAATAGTGAAATGTTCTTGGATTGTAATACAAGATCAGTAGAGGTAATGGCACACCCGATTTGCTACTTCAAAATGGTAAGTGAACACTGCCTAAAAAACATCTTCTACAGCCAATGTGCGCAATCCAGAACAGAATTATAAGTTGCACTGGCATACAAATAAACTAAGATCAGAAACAAACTGTAGCACCCATGCACTGGTACCAATCAGGCTCCAGGACACTACAAGTCTTTACAATCCGTAGGATTCTTGCAAACAGCTCCCAAATTTGCAGCTACCTATAAGCTTGTTTCTTGCCTACTTTTTAAACAAGGATTAGACATGGCAAGCTGAACTGAGTAAGACAGAAAAGGAATTAATGTAGCTAAGGTGGGATTTAAATTTTGTCTCCTTAGGACTCCAAATCCTGTGCAGGATGGCAACACTATAGACAGTAAAGCATAGGATGGCCATCTGGCAACACCACTGTTTTCAGCTGCTTTATTCCTAGATTTATTTCTATGACTATGACTAACAACTTCTAGGAGCAACTTCTGTTACAATTTTAGCTATGACAGTACTATTTTATCAAGAGGCCTTCTATAAACTGAATCCAACACAGGTGAGGGTGATACTTTTTCAACTTTTCTGTGAGTCATGTACCCCTTATAACAGCAAGAAAGTCAACAGTACTGACAAAGGATGTGCTGAACACAGTGGTACTTAACATGGAGAGATTCACATGGTTTACCACAAGGGACAAAGAGCATACAAAGTAGCAAGCCACTCTGGACTGCATTTTATGTATTTCTAAAAATAGAATTTAATCTGCCAACAGCTATACATGTAAAGCTGCTTTCAAACTCTTGGTATCCACAGATATTTCAAGACACTGTATTTTTACTGTAGAACATCTATATGTCTGATAATACAGCCAAAAGACCAACATAGTGGGGTTTTTTTAAAATTATTTTTCTGAAAGTTCTTCTAAGATCTGGTAAGCAGGCACCTATATACTTTGTGGATACAAAACATAATTTTACAGGTTACAGAAATGACACATTGAAATCAACATCATTTGGTAGAGTATGTTTTTATCCATTTTCTACCTTGATGTAACACATCATCTACAAATTAAAAAATACTGAGGAGAGGTCAGGTGCAGAAACATAAATAGACCAGCATCCATGACATTCAAGTACTTACAACACTTATTTACACTAAGCTGGATTGTAATGTCTGCAAAGAGCCCTCTCATTGCCCTAGGACTCTTCATGCTTGTACTAGCTCAGAACCAAGCCCCAGATTTTTTATAAAATTCAAATTAGAAGCAAGTATGGGAATGAGAGGAAGGGGTCCAGAGGATACCAGGTAACTAAGCAATCAAGCACACACAATGAACTGCTCATAACTGGTGAATAAGCTTAAATGACTAGAAAGACAAAAATCTTCAAATGGACTGACTGGGTAATTCTGAGTTTCAGATCTGCACGTAAGTGACAGATGGCTTCCGAAAGCCAACAACAAAACAAAAATCAATCATAGCTTCAGGGAGAACTGGTAGCGTCTGAAAACTACCTCTGCCTGAGGGATCTGAGCTCCTTTATAACAAAAGAAGTATCCAGGTATTTTTTTTTAAATGAGAAGGTTTTTTAAAACAACAATTATTTTATGTAAAAAAATATTGCTGTTATTATCTCTACCAGACTAAATTAAATTTATCATTGCTGTATGATTTAGGTAAACTCTTGGCTTCAATGCATGCAGTTAAACAAAGATGAGATTAATTACTACATGTTAGCGAGGCAAGCAGGTGTCACATGAAATGGAACAAAAGCAGCTGGTTATGTTTGTGTGTTCTCAGCTGCCTAAACAAAAGGTTGTCATGCCTAAAGAGTCATCAAGAGAAGTTTAAACTATGAAGGATTCAGATTTAATTAGAATTTTTAAAAAACCCTAAACAAAAATCCAGCAAACAAGCAAATACTCCTCCCCCATACTTCTATCCCTCTTTCCTGTTAGGTGAGTTTCAGTATTGGTGAATAATGTTCAACTGACAACTTAGGAGATAAGCTCCCCTGTGTGGTAACAAAGCACACTTGTGGAAGCCCCACCCTGTAGTGCCATGAGTAATAGCAAAGAGGGAAAGACTGACATTCCTCACAGACTTTTCCATGAAATACACTGCCCCTGTGCTGTTTTTTGCTAATAAGCAATTACCAGTTTCCTGGTTTTTCTATCAGTCTTCAAAACCTATTAAGAGACTGTTGTCACAGTGACTGCTGAACAGTTATTAAAGTGTTATACATGGAAAAAATTCCACTAATTTACTTTGCAACTTCATTTGGACATCCAAGGTAGCTTAGTACACAAACCAGCAACACCCCACGCTAAATCAATCTCCTCAGCCCTGTGTTAGGGGGAAAAAAGCCCATGCACTAATAATACATCATCAGTGAACAAGCCTTTATAACAAATCTCTACTGAACATCTGTGTGCAGGATCAGATAACAAAGGCATTAGATGCATTTATTGAATTGTAAAGGCCTGTTATGAGAGGCAAAGAAAAAGTGTTGCCATTTTAGCAGCTCAACAATCTTAACAGACGGATCCATATGATTATTATGATGTTGCGCAAACTGGTTTTTGTACCTGGATTGCAACTACCCTTCTACTATCAATTCTTCTCGCTAGTGCTCCGAATGATGACTAAACAAAGCTAGAATTAAACTTAGATTAACTAACAGAAGTCCTATTAGTGAAAACAGCTTTTGATTCACCTTGCAAAAGAGCATCATCATCTAAGTAGCCTCACTCTGAAGTCATAAAGAGCAGAGATGGAAAGCAAACAGCAAGGAGTCTGAAGAAACATTAGGAGAGGAAGAAGTGGGGTAGAAGAAAGAGAGAAGAGGTTTTGATTTTTCAAAATCATGTTGTCCGTTTTAATTGTTTGCTGATTTTGGCTCAGTGCAAGTCTTTATGAGGAGCCAGCAGTGCAATGCTGACCCAGCAGTTCCAGAACAGACCACACACTTTGGGCTAAAGACAAAACCTTGGGTTTCTGTGACCTGACACTGACAGGTAGTTACAAAGTGAAAACAGCGATGATTAACACAGCTGACTGCATTTGATAAAACAAAATGTTAATGTTAGTCTGATTCCTGTGGGGTCTTTTTGATCTCACAAGTTGCACAGTTCACTGCTTCAAACTTGTGAGCCAGTTAGCTCATCATAAGCCTTTGTCTGGTCTATTCTTTTGTGTGGTCTATTCCAAACACTTTTCTACTTCAGTATGAGACATACTTAGACTCATAATTAAGGCATCAACACAAAGCAATTAGTTACAAACCGACAGACAAAAAATCTGGATTCTTCTGTGTTTCTGCCAGTCACAGGTATTTCAGAGTTAATTATTTTAACTTTGGATGGAGTGGTTTTTTGAGAATTTTGTGCTTGTAAAACAAGACATGGTAGGCATAATTTTAAAAATAAATTTTATTTTTTATCTTAAGAGTTTCCAACATTGAGCTACTTCCTAGTACTGCAAAAGCCTGAGATCAAGCAACAAACTATGGAAACTCTGGTTTGAATTTTTCCAGTACCCTGTTCCATCACAGACTTACCAGTGGCATGAAAGACAGTACAAAAATGGCATTTTGCTGGTAGAAATTGCAACTGATGTTCTCTTAGCTGTTCAAGAAATTAACACTGAAGCCTAATCAGAAATAGCCACGTGCCTTACATACCAACAAAGAATAATGGCACCTCGATTTACTTCTGCCCAGGTCTTCATATTCTCAATACCAACACGTTCCACCAACGTTCTTCCGAAGCAAACTGTAAAATGTGGAAAAGGGGTAGGGAGAAGAAAAAAATTAGACAGTATCTTTATACAAAGACGACTGTTAAAAGTTCTCTGCAGTTGTGATTCAATCAAATAATTTTTAGGCACCAAGTATTCACAGAGTTTTGCTCTCACAAAATAATTTATTCAATGCCATGAATACCTTTACAGATGCTTGACTACTTCCAAGTATTGCTTAAAATTAGTTAGACAATAGCAGCACTGCATTACAGTTTACTAGCATAAAGCAGACAAACTTGGTATTTCTTTTTTAAAAGGGTGTCAAAGGCTATTCATGTCTTAAAGAATGCATCCACTCCGAAGAAAGAACTTTGCAAGAACGACATCAACACAAGAGGTAATTATATGCAATATACTAAATACATATATACCTCTGCTGGAAAGTGCTACGTTTTGAAGCATCTGACTAAAACTGAAGAAACAGAATTTGCACAGATGAAGTTACTTAAAACTTCAGAGCTAATCCTTTATTGATGCATGAAAACCACTAGGAACCTTGTTTCTTTCAGCTGTACTGATGCTACAGGGCTCTATTTCTTCAGTAGCTTTGAAAGCTTAGGGTTGACTTGCAGATTCATTACACATATGCAAAAGAAAGAACCTAGCCTGACCTCCAGTCCTCAGCTGAATTTGAAGAACTGAACTTCAGGAAAACTTCTTACAACTTGTATGCTGAGCAAACTTACCAGTAAACAATGCCAAAAACCCCACCCAACTCCAACAAACTCCAACCTCGAAACACTAAGGCTATTTTTCAGTGTCACTTTAGATCAGAATTCCATCTGATGAACAGGTCAGTTTTTATTCAACTTGTTCCCTGCGTGCTAACAATTTGGTTGTTTTTTAATGCCAATTCCATAAACTCAGAGCAACAATTCTGAATGGTGCACTCTTTGGTGGAAAACAAAGAAACCAAAGGGAACGGCTTGTGTTCAAAATGGGAATTGCACAGTGTTAGCAGAAATAAATCCAGATAACTATCATCACCTCAGTTCGGCTAGTCTCTGAAAGACATTCATATAAAACTTCCCCTTTGGACACTTTTAATCATCTGGTTGAGAAGTAGCAAAACAGCCTCCTTTCACAAACATTTAGTAACACCCAACTAACTCTTATTTTTAAAGGAAACAGTGGATACCTGAATATAAGAAGAAAAGGAAAAAAAAGAGTTTAAGAAGGTCTGATAATTCTACAAAGAAAAAAGCCCCCTACACACAGAGAAGTTCCCTCCAGATTATACTATGCCACCCCCACCTGCTTTCATTTTTTGAGGTTTTTGTATGAGAAAAAGTAATCTCTATTAGGATATGGTGATTCACACAAGATTTTACAGTTATGTAATAAAATAAGTTTAAAAGCTAAATTAAGATGAGAACATCTGTGCCCAATCTCTGCCTTCTGGGATATAAAATAATAAAGATGTCCTATTTTTTGCATGAATTATTGTAATAACAGTCATAAAGCATTAACCCAGCAGCACTAATGAACACAGTAAAGATTACAGTTTGGCTCACAAGCACTAATGAAACAAGTCTTGCTGTCAGAAAGACTTCATTTTTTCTATTACTATCCTTTAAATCGCTCTGTAATTTAGCAAAGCTATCAAGACATTTAAAGAACAGAAATGAACTCTGTCCCAAATACACAGTAAACCCTTGAGAAAAAAAACCAGGCCAGTACTTGCTTTGCAGAAAAAGCAAATGTGTTCATATAACAGCTCACAACAGAAGCAGCAATAATCTTAGAGGACATGGTAAGTTTTCCATATATTAGTATATTCAAAGAAATAAATGCAGCAATCTTACTTTAGGTCAGGTAACTGATTACTCTGAAGTCATAATTTGATCAAATAAAGCTGGATTTCCAACATACCTTCTTTTCCACTCTCTCTCATTTTTTCATCTTGCTCTATTAACCATTTCAAAACTAGATGGCCTGCTGGATGCTCTGCAATGTGAAGCTTTAAGGGAAAAAACCAAAACAAACCAAAACCAAATTATTTAATGATGATGTTTCAAAACGCAGTTACATGTCTGTCCATAAATATTCCTGCTTGATTTACCCACTCTGCCATCAGACACCACATTGTACCCATCCATTTAGTCATCACCTATGCAAATATCAACAAGTTTGATGCAAGCATCTGAATACTTATTTAAACTGATCAGTTTATTTTTTCTATCACCTTCCCTGTAACATCTGACTTCCAGTAATATAATCCATATCAACCAATGTTTCATCCACCCCTCCAAGGACTCCATGCTTATTGAGCAGAATCTCTTGATGTAGCTGCCTCTGCAAGAACTTCCAGACTTTACACATTTTCACAGACTTGAAAATTCACTACAGAATGGTTCACTGAAAATCACAGAAAACATGAGTATTTCATGTAAAATTCTGTAAAATGCATATCTTAAAGAAGGGGAAAGATGGAGCAAATTCAGCACAACTACAAAAATTTGGAGGGCATCTATCTTAAATACAGTGTACAGAGCATTTTTCATTTCCTAGTCTAAAGACTGAGCTTAACTCAACAAAATAGGGGAGGGGCACACTTTGAAGAGAAGGTCATACTGTAAGACAAACAGCTATTGTCTAAGATCTTCCCTTGCATGGAAATATGCATACCTGAACGCTAAGAGACCCTATCATTCTCAGTGTAAACAGTCAAATGAACTATAAAAATTTACTAACTGCTTGATTGTATAGTGATAACATTAAAAGAGAGACTGTGTAACATGATTGTCAGCTACTTTCCCACAAAGCGTTTAAAGCAGTTCTGAAGATTCAAGATCATGAAGTACCTTGCTCTACAACTCAGATAAAATGCTGGTTCAAACCTTAATCACTCCAGATGCAATAATAATAAACTATGAAAGGAAAATGTCAGAAAACAGAGACCATTTCTAATGTATGAGTGCTATCAGGGCAGTACATTGACCTCTTACGTAAAAGAAAAAGTGAGCATACTTCATAGTACAAAATATGCAAACACTATGCACAATCTCAGCACCTTGTCTTCTCTTACATTACCTGCCCATCACGGCCACCTGGAACCAGCTCTTCCGCTGCTAAATTAGCAATTGCATCTAGTGCAGGCTGGATGTCACCATGAGCTGTTCTTAAGATGTCAGCAACCAAGACAAAGGTAGCTTTGTCTATCACTACTTCTTGGGTATGTTCTTGCAAATATTCTAGCAAAGGTGAGGAAATGGCTTCCAGGAGTTCACGGCGGCGGACTTCAGTATTCTTCTTACTGATGAAAGAGACAGCATGTTACTGTAGAAGACTTGCTCTGTACACACATCAAGCAACAAGAAATTTAGAACATATACACTATTTGAGACAGCTATAAATTATTGGAAGATCAAAATAAAGCATTATTCTTCCCTCTGTTTCACATTAAAATTAAACATACGTTGCACGCACATATTAAGAACACATGAAGTGTGCAAAGTTTTTTTGTTAACAACGATAATTTTACCTCTGTTTATTTTCTATTCATTCTGTTATCTCCACTACTGAGATATATTTCTAAACAGCTCACTAACCATCTAAAATTGCTCCTTGCAATTGCTGATAAGCATCAATGTCAATACCAGAGAGTAAATTCAATTTAACAATTTCCATTTTTATTGCTAGATTTTGAGATATACTTTGATGCAACTCAAAACACCAATAAACCATATTATAGGAGTTTAAACAAAGAAAATATCACAATTTTTCCCCTTTACAAAGGGAGTAAATACACTGCTGGTTACCAATACATGAACTTTAAACCAAAAATGCAAAAATAAGGACTACAGATTAACATATTTAATAATACTTATATATTATTTATATATATTTAC